TGAAATATACAGTACCCTACCAAAAATGGAAATTTATTATATAAAAAAGGAAATAGTTCAAATTTTTGTAACATCCTTGTGGTAGTTATCTATACGTGACGATTAACCTTGTGAGACTTGGGGTGGTAGGAGTTATGGAATGCTTACCAACTTCAAAAATTAATTCTTACTTGTCATGTAGGTTCTGTATATTTCATAAAAAGAACCTTTCTGTATATAGGATGACCCTATTCAATTTATTATTAAATTTTACCATAAAAATTTACATGCAACTGATAAATTAATAGAAATTTCTTTTTTATAATTCATGTTTTCAAAAAAATATATTGTTAGTTGAATTTTGTTGTCAACATTTACAATGTGTTGAAATATATGATAAAGATACTAAAAAAATCCACACATAATAATTTGTTATATTGATACATATGTTTGATGATCAAAAGCCATAGAACACCACAATAAATTATCATAATTTTCAGGAGCTGAATTACACCTAGGACAATTTGTAAATTGCCCATATAAATCAGATCTACATTTCTTTAAAATTTCTAGTACTAGTAGTTCATTAGTAACAGTTTGATTTTGAAGGCCTTCCTTCTACTGTCTTTGAAAGATGTACTAGAAGAAGAACTGGTTCTCAAAGATAACCATGTGCACCTCCACTCTATTTTATGTATTTCTTCCTCAGTGAAAAATGGTTGAAACTGATTTAGAGAGATACAAGAATTTAAATGTTTTGCTTTGCATATTTGTTTGGTGAAATTTCTATAATGATAATCTATTAGAAATCTTTCCAATATAATATAACATATTTTCCAATCACATAACTTTTGATAAAGCTTCAATATTGGTGGTTTTTTTTTAGGTGTTGCATTTGATTAAGTTTCAAAAATTGTATCAAACAATGGTTCAACAGATAAGCAAATACTTTTGACAGCATCATACCAGGATAACCAACGAATATCATAGATCTGTTTAACTTTTAATAGAGGATGATCTAAAAATTTTTGATAATGTTTCAATAAATCACAACGTTTACTTGATTTGCTAAAAAATAAATAAACCTTCTTCATGACAGATTCTACACTTTTACAGAATTCAACTTGTTCTTGAGCATCCCCACATGCCAATGACAATCTATGAGCAATGCAATGTGTAATATAAAGAAAATGATTGATTTGTGCAATTCTTGTAGCTACACCTGTATTTTTTCCCATCATTACACTTGCTCCATCTGAAGCAAATGAACAAATTTTTTTAACAATATCTATAA